GGTATTGGCAACACCAGCACATCAAGAGGGTCGTTCCCAGCAAGATTCTTGGCTTTCTTCTCTTTGGCTCCATTTGGTTGTTTGATGGGAACGTTGATGGGTCTCTTCCCATATCTGGAGCGAACCGATGAAAATGGGCCCAGATCTAGAACGAACCGATGAGAATGGACTCAGATCTGTCGTTGTCACCTTCAAACCACTACTGGACCGCAAGAAAACCTGCAAGAACTCAGCGCCGGAGGGGTTTCCGGCATAGAGCCTCCGACGCTCAAGTCAGTATGTGAGAGAGATGAAGAGAGCTGCTCTAAGAGAGCAGCAGCAGTAATGGAGGAGAGTATGGAATGAATGGGAGTTAGGGTTTTGGGGTTATCTCAGCTCCTTTATATAGAAGCAAGACATTTACCTGAAGTTCCAAAAATGTCCTGGCTGACTTATTGGAAATGTCCAAAATACCCTGGTCGGTTCGCATTTCGTCCCTCTCCTAGTCAGCATTTAGATTTTTTCTTATTCTTAGTAGCTTTCTTCTTATCCTTGACAGTTTTCATATGATGTATCGAAGTGTATCGGATTGTTGGGGATCTATGAGCCTCGGGACTTCCTCAGTCAACTCGGGTCTATCAACTCGAGCCGACGGGGTCATCTTTAGTCGTCGGTAGACCCTGATGCGCTTATCCGTCTTTTTGGGGAAATCGACTTATTCTAGTCGACACGTAGGAGTCAACCGAGAGGTGCCTGGACCCCTAACCGGAGATATTATAGGGAGTCTGCGGAGTGAGTTGACTTTGGCTAAGTCGACTCGGTAATCTCTGAACCATTGATAGTGTAAACAGTTATATGATAGTATGGCTATATCATCTAGTCTTCCCCCCCCCCCAAATTACTCGAAGCGATTCTGAGCTTAAGAGTAATTTTTGTCGACTGAATGTCTTGCTCGGATCTTTTCACATATCCTGTTCGCTTTTCATTGCTCTAAATCGCGCCCGCTTGTTATCTCGACTCGTAAGTGACTTGTCTATCCAACAAATTTCGAATTGATTGGATAAGTCTGAATCTTTTTCAAATTTTAAAATTCGAAAAAAGGGGCTTGAAGGCTGATAAGACGTTTTCTCTCTCCACCGCTCCATATTCCGTGCGCCATCTTGGCCGTTGGTTCTGCCTTTAATCTAAAGGCTAGGGTTTCTCCGCTCCTCTATAAATATCCTTCTCCTTCTATTGTCTGCACTTTTCGCACTCAGAGCTCTCGAATTTTCTGCTTTTCTGGCAAATAAAGCTTTACAAGTTTTCTGGCGCTCGTTTCATCCTCCGACGTTCTTCTCAAGTTTTTCCAGGACTTCTCCGACAATCACCATGTGTAAGTTTTCTTTTGCCTTTTGATTTCTTGCTATGTGTGATTATCTTTTCTCCCTTTCTTCTTCCCCTTCTTCTTTTTTTTTTTT